AACTTTGAAACATCGATTCCAACCGGACTTAGGTGTACAAGGAAGCATTTATAGTCATTCCCAACACGGGTATATTATATACTTAGGCACCCATATACAATGTTTACAAGGGATTGTGTTCCATAGCAATTTCCCCGTCTGACAGTGCAGCTATACTTAAATAAACAAGCGGTTTTTTGATATGATAAAAATAGGGACGGTGAAAGGGATGTGGGCATATTTTGCCTGTAAAAACTTATGCCTATACACGCACGTTACAAATATATTCAAGGTGAAGACAGCGTAAATAAGTGACGTTTGGGTGTTCCAATAATATGGTAAACGAAACTAGACTTTACTGCGACTGTTATAAAGATGAAAGTGATGTAACAGCGTAATATTTTGATTGTTTGTCCCTGGTTTTGCTGATGTAGAAGTTTTTTACTTGCGTTTCGCTAGTTATACTTTTCCTTGTTATGTTATGAGTCCCATGTGATAGGGGGTGAACCTATTGCCATATACCGGGCACAATTCTAGACTGCGTGCTACTACTGAGAATGTTGAAAACCCAGTAATACTTTGGCCGACCTGGGAATTGAACCCGAGACCTCTTGCCCGGCAGTCGCAATTGCGACCACTCGGTCAACGAGGCAGTCGATCAAAACTACTAAACCAACAAACTCTACATTCTATTATCTATTTAAAAACTTTTATCTATCGCATGTGTAATACTCGTATTTATCAAACGTAAACACAGTCCTTTGAAGAAATGAGGCTTCAAAGGCGTCAAATTGACGCTCAGCTTGTTACTACAAGACATAAAGACGTATTTAATAAACGCTACCCGTCTATTATGAATCTAAACCCAATCAGACCGTCTTATCATGTAAATGATAGCATGTCATTGGTGTAGACGCAATCAAGCTCCATTCAGTACTAAATATTTATTTCTATTTTACACTGTGTAAATATACGTGAGTGAACTTAATAACAGTGGACATTCTCTACCAGACTGCCTCATTGGCCGAGAGCTCGCAAGTGCGGCAGGCATAGTATGGGTTTTTAAAAAATTCTCATTACTAGCACGGAGTCTGGGATTGTGCCCGGTATATGGCAATGTGTGATGTGCAATAGCGGGCCTAAATACAATGTACATTTATTTAGTATATAACACAGTTTTCATGTGTATTGTGTGATATGCATCTTTTTCATAAAATAGCTTCTCACAGACTAAGATTGATTTATCCATTCTAGTATGCACTGATAAAATCAAATTTTCTGAAAAATCAAATTTCCGTTCCATTGCTTTAAGAAAAATTAAAGACATCGACCAGATACTCTTACATGTGAACATTTTCATACAATTCCCATAACAAAACAATTCAATAATGATTCACACTACGGTAGAAACAAGATGGATAATCATGGCATCAAATAATAAATAATTTTACCAAAATATCCATCTAGTAAGAAACATAATTCAGGCTGTTCAAATATGTGATCTCAGGCAGAAATGACATGGTAAGCCTGGCTTTGGACCGTCAAGTCATATGACGCCCTGCTTCACCCGATAGCTGGAGGTAGAAATCTCTTAATAAAGTAACCTGTACCGTATATGATATGCCAGTACTCATGAACAAAGATACACTATTTTATAAAAATCTGTCGAATGAATTTAAATACATTCAATAGGGTAGATGCCTAATTTTTATTTTAATGTCCGTCTGGTAGATTATTTTAAATCATTAGACACGTATTTTTTTATTTTCTTTCAGAAACAAATATTTTCGACGATATATTGATTTGAAATATCGCGTGACGTCACTTCTATGTCCATTTTATACGTTTTATCTAAGTATTGTTTTATTATACGACAAAATAAAAATACGTGTCTAATATTTTTTCACTAATATGTTATACTCCATAACATAAAATATCATGTTTTTATTGTATAAGCCGGTAAACTAGCAGACGGGTCACCTATTGGTGAGCAATCGGCGTCGCCCATGGACACCTGGAACACCAAAGGCGTTACAAGTGCGTTACCGACCTTTTGGGGATTAAGAATTATGATTGTGGGGGTTCAGGGATTAAGGAGATTGTGGATGGGGGGTGGGTAGAATTGAGCCTCCGGTGACCTCATTCACACGACGAAATACAACGCAAATTCTATTCTATTAACATGAAAATATACTCTAATATTAATAACGCTGTTACGCATAAATGCGTAGCGTTAGTTTTTGCAACTACCTACATATCAACTTAGGGCTTCTAAATAAGTGTATCAACACTATTTTAAGAAAATTAACTTTATATTTCTGATGTCTGTTTCTTAAAGCTTTATTGGTAGAATAATTAACTTAAATTATCTTACTTGGTGGGTACAATGACTTCAGAGACGATATAACTGCAAGACATCTGTCGTTCATCATTTTATGCTAGCGTCACGTGTCTCGTGCTAAATAATCCGATTATTGTCTTGACTTAAATTAAAAATAAGATTATGATTTCCACAATAATATATAGTACCGCTTATGTGAAATATTTGTTTATTGATCACAATAATAATTTTCGACTAAATATTGAATAGTAGTAATATAGTAATATAACATTAGTTTGACGTGCATGGTCGAAGCATACGACTAGCGTTTAAATACTATTTGTATAAGGAGTCTTTTTTTTTAAGGGGGGAAATCATCGAATGACACCCGCCTGGATGAGGCGGGAGGGAGTGTCAGACTCTTACTGACTAAAAACCACCCCGTTTCTTCTCCTGCACGCCGAGCCGGAGCCCCGGTTACCCGTTAGGTTCTTCGCGACTTGTATAAGGAGTCTAGCATAAATTGAAAACTCACACTGATCAATCGCTATTGCTAATATTTAGGGCTGGTTTTGAAATCAACAGATAATTCTTATTTGTTAAATATTCAAAACTATTCCTCCAATAAAACTTACCAACGTTGGAAAAATTGGCCTTTAGTGAATTAACAAATCAAGTTTTCGTCATCCACAGATCCAGTTTAGTTTTAATGCCATGGTTATTAAAAATCTTAAATACGTTTAGCAGTTCTTAAATAAACCTCTTTTGTTTATTTATTTTAAAATCTAATGTCAGATTCCAATTATGCGTTGCCAACATTTTATGCGAGTGTCTGGAACAACGCGTGGTTACATACTTACATTGTTACGATTTCTGTATGAAATGGCGTATTTATTAACACACTTCTGCAATCATTAATATAATACTAAATATTTTAATAGCTACTGACGTAAGAATCTTATGGACACACTTTATTTTAATACTTTCTTCTAACACTTACATTAATTATGATTTAAGGCAGACTAAAATTATAAAATATCTCTTTTACAAAAATCTGTTAGTTTTATGTCTAACAGTACATATTATTATATACAAATATATTTACCACGGTCCACGGTATTAAGCTGAGCTCCAGCCTTTTGCGCTGCGACGCACTATGGGCTTTTTTTCGGTGTTTCTAAATCCTTTTTGTGTGTCGTAGCAAAATAAATGGTTTTTCTTTCTTTCTTTTCTTTCTACCATGGTTAAAATATTCCTTGCTATGCCCAAATAAGCGAAAAATAGTGATTAATTCGTTTAGCGATCCTAATTTGGTTACCTTACAGTAACTTACCTTACAGTTAATCAAGCATAGACTTTGATATCTTCCAAAGACCTCCTCAGTAGAGCTTTTCTCAGTATACTCACGTGAGTAACCCGCGATTTTTAGTTAATTTAGTATGTCTCACGATAGTTATTATAAAATTCTTTTTTGTGTTGGATAGTCTATTTATCGACGAAGTCTATAGGCTACAAAACATCTCGCTACGACCAATAGGAGCCGAGCAGAGCGAGTGAAACTGCGTGCAAGTAGCTAGTATATAATAAAATCTTACTTAAAATACAGTTTTTTAATCAAAACACCCACTATCTATACCAACCCTCTAAAACTTAGGTATATTCCAAAGCAATTTTTAAGGGTGACTCACATTTATAATCCGGTAGCGTGACTAAAACGCTCCTGAAGAAATCGCTCGACATATAGAAGCGTGATAACACAATTTTATCGGTATCATTAATCTGCGACAAGCTAGGGTCGCCTACGTCACCGGCCTACGTCTGCGCTAGATAGACATTGATACCAACACCCTTATTTTATTTGTCATTCATAATTTTCATTGGGGCTGTAAGCAATTCGGGACAATACTTCAAAACTAGAACTTAATTGTTGTGGACTTTGACTTTGATATGTAACAACTGCTTCTAATTTAGCTTTACATATTACGAAAAGGACCAATAAACGTTCTTGTATGTATAATAAATCAACTTTAGCAACGTTTATTTACTTAAGATTATATAATCAACAATAGATCACATGTTCGTTTACTCAAAATTGTAAATTGCCAATCCAACTGAAGACCTTAAGTATATTTTTATAATGGACCATGACCAAATGAAATGATCATTATAGTAGACACTAGCAAAGTTTATGTCGGCTATATTCTATATAGTGCATTGTAAAGGTATATATAGTGATTACTTACTCTGTGCTTTGGACGCATAAATCCATCAAATTCCATTCACTAGCATGGCTACAAATAGAAGCCTATACATCCGAAGGCCAGTCTCTCCAATATCGTAATAGTTCAGAACCTACTTTGACATTGGAACTACCTTTGCTTAGATTCAGGGGCAACAATGGATATAATCACGTTAAGAAGAAGTTAAACTTTAAGAAGAAGTTAAAAAAGTTCGTTGTATGATAGAATTACAATGAAGCCCTAAACTCGAGTCGTAACTAAGAATTAATTAGTTATTACAATGAAACGTATACCAATCTTTTCCTGTTCTTTAACTTTTAAATAGCATAAATATACTTTATTTCATAGAAAAATAAAGCTCAAGTTTATCTTGCTCTTGACATTCTCGAAGTTTCTATTTCCTGGTTCAAAAGTTAAAAAAACAAGACAGAAATTTAAGTCTTTATTTTTTGTCATAACAGATCGTCACAGAAGATCTGGGTCTTTGGACGAAGCAGCGGAAGACAGCAGCGATAATGGAGGTAGTACACCAAAGAAGAAAACGGCGATTGAAGAACAATGGGAAAGATCAGGAGGCTTCGAGCTCACCTCAGTGGAACAAGAAACATATGAGAAGTACTTCTACGGGACTGAACACTGGAACTACTTCACTAATGACGAAGACCTCGGACCTGTTATACTGTCTATCAAGCAAGAGACTCTCAACGGAAGAGATCAGTTCAGGTATGTGATATAATTGAATTTTAAATCTACCAACATAGTTTGGTACCGATACTCATACAGTCTCGATAACGCCTTATCGATACAAAAATAAATTTTAGGGCATTACTAAAAGTACTTACAAGGCGTTTAGTTTTTCTAGACAATTGATTTAATAAAGTTACGACCATTCAAACAATGAGCATGCTGGCTACCAAATAGTTGAAATAGTCATGGAGAATTAACTAACACAAACAATGAGTATTCCAAAGACGATAACAATTTATTAATATCCTAATGCGAAGAACAATCGATGCCACTCGAGCATATTTGTATCTATCGAAACTCTCGGAATGTGAATCCTATCATATCGCGCGGACACAGCCAGAAATGGAATTTAATTAAATATAATTATGTTAAACCGATATTCCACTGTACAGTGAGCCGACGAGTGATGCGCAAAATATGAAATTCCAGTCTAAGCTACGACGGCCATCTTTGACAGCGCCATTCTGAAGTTAATTACGCATTGTTTTATTATTATTGTAATAACTGAATAGAATAATCCGACGGTTTGTAATACCAATCAATTTTAATTATTATTTGTAAGCTTGAACTTCTCTAATTAAACCAACATTTCTTATCTCAATTAAACCTTCAAAAAATAAACATTTCAGGTAAAAAAGGGATTCCTTTTTATTTCTATTTCGTAAAACAAATAAACTTTTGCGTATTTTACTTTCAATATAAATGGGAGTGCTATCTGCTGCCGTGGGTGCATTTTAATTAAAAATGGCAAGGTATTGTAAAACGGAATGGGTTTTGTATAGTGCTATAATTAACTGGCCTATAACGGCGATGACCTCACTCGGGTTTACCTCCACGACCCTCTCGTAAACCAAGAATTCAATTAGCATAATGTAGAAGCAAGGTGTTAAACGCCCCAAAGCTGCCCAATAACGCTTCGTACGACAGTATGAATACGTAACACATGAACAAAATATTTAAATGTCCCGAGTCATTTGTCCCTTTCGCACTTTTCCTTGATTAAGGTAATTTTCATTAGACTTTTATTTTAGAGCAAAGACAATTCGACGTATAGCCAAGTCGTTCGTAAGTCTAAAAACGTAATAAATGTCACAAACGACCTTTAATAGCAGCGAGCCCAGTAGTAAAGGGGACCAGGCGATCCGAATGTGGCCTCACCCTTACATACGTAAAAGATGTTATTACAATTCTACCGAATTTTAATTATACCTTAAGGTATTTCATTAAAACGAAATTCGTATTACAAAGTTCGTTACATTGGCAGTAGAAAATGTTCGTGAAATTTTCATAACCAAGTAGATATTCCTGGTACGATGTTTAAAACAAGGTATCTTCATGTAATCACATTCCTGTCTCAGAAATATGAAGGAGCAAAGCCATCATTTTCGGTAATAAAATACCCTGCTATTTTAGACGATCGTCCATTGATGGCTACATCAAACTTTGAGATTGAATAAGTTTCGTTAAGAGTTAAGAGTAATAGTTTCACAGGCAAAGTCAAAGCATAAACTGAATTTTCTTCCTGTAGTCATTTCTGTAGACTAAACTGATGATTAACGCAAAAGCGAAAGTGTAAGAGAACTTAATTTATTCTTACATCTTATGATTAAGAAGGTACTTAACACTCCTCAATCCTACAAGAGAATACTGAAGAATGAGTGTACGACTAAGATTTTCTACTTCAGAGTTTAAAACTACTAACATTAACCTACATGGCTGGGCTTCTATGGAGAAGCACAAATTCAAACTCCATATATAAGCAGATAAATGAAACAGAACGACCACAGCACGCAGAATTTATTTTGTCAGTTCATTAAAATTGCGTTTCAAATGACCTATTTACTTAACGCACGTAAAAAAACTGTTAAGATTTTAACTACAGTCTCGGCTCGTGAAAATAGAAGTCAATTTATTTTTTAACATCGTTTTTGTGGTTCCATCTGTATCTACGTTTGAAGTCATATTGCCTCTGAGAAATGGAATTCAATTTTGATCGTGATATCCCCTGATACTTCTTACAGAAGGCCTCGATTTCGTAAATTTTCGGCGTCTTTATTACATTGCTTTGAAAATTATTATTTTTTGTTCGTACTTATAGAAAAGTATGTAAGTACAAATAACCTATTGCTTATCCCTACCCTTTGTCTCTCAAATGTACTAATATTATCTATTTTCTGCCAATAAACATCTCTAGTTCAAGTTCGTTCAGTTTTTTAACAAGCAAAACATATGCACATTGATTGAAAAATAAAAGTAACTCAAAACCTTCATGGAAAACGACAAACTTTTCCACAAATCTGCTAATTCGTATAACCACAAGCTGCAAGGAAAAACGACCTCTATTATAAGCACCCTTCTTAAAGCCGGCAGTCAGATTGGCAGTACTCGTCAACGAGACTATTGCGTGTCGAGACATCGTTAACCCGCTCGTGGTCACTGCAAAGGCCAATAAGCCTGTACAAGATCATACGACCTCCTTTGATGTTTTAGCCTGTATTATAAACATTAGATGCTGACCCTGATGCCTGATTTACATGCAATTGGATAGGAAAGGGTTTGTTTGAAGAGTAGACCGTATTGGACTATTCAAATTGGCTATCGGCAAAGTTTACACAGCCCCATGTTTGCTGGCTGTATAACTAGATACTCAATACTTTATTGTAGGTATTCTTGCTAGGGTTACTGTGTCGAGGTCGCATAAAGGAGGACCGAACTGAACGCAATTTTGTAATTTCATTATCAACAAAATGTGAAATCAGTTTCCCAATTCCAAAATTCTCAGAAACAACGACATACAAATGAAACAAGCCCGGTTTTAAATCTCAAACTGTTTGGTTTAAAAAGAACAATAATTTGGTTCTAGTCTATTTCTCAACCGTTAGTCACTCAATTCGAAAAGATTTTTTATAATGAAAGCGAACATTCTGTATAAAACACTTAACTCAATCATTTGTTTTAAACAGAAAGAGCAGAATTTTCAAATGAATTCTTTTTTCAATAGATTCAAGGAAATTGATCCTATTATACTGTTGGTAGGAATACAAGACACTGGCTGGAAAGAATTGTGTATTAAACAGACTATATTACTATAATAATATTGTATATTTTTGAGAATTTATAATTATTGGTAAAAAATGAATATGTTTTTTATATCAATAATTTTTTTCATCGTTCGAACAATATCACACGACAGATTTCAAGGCATTCTAAAATAGATTGTAACATTCAATAACATGTAGATGCAGCTAGTTTATTTTAATCATCTACATTCTTCTGGGTCGACGACATCATAGCTAATTTATTAAGCTTTAAAATAAAGCTGTAAATATTAGACGCATTTGTCAAATGACACATTTTAATGTAGGTATATTTTTATTCAAGCAAACACTTTTAAACAGGGCATAACAAACCTAATCACCAAATATAATTACAAAAATTATGGTGTAGTAACATAATATCAAAATTAAAAAAGTCCACTAACACTTATGGCCTAATTCATACTTAGGTACGATCCACGGAAGAAACAATTGAATAAACATTTCTACATATTATACATGATGATATACCAGTATTAGAACAACAGCCCAATTACTTTCTTGCTCGACGCCTACTCTAAACCAACAATAACTTCTCAGTATTCCATCTAAAGCAATCCCTTTCATAACAAATGTCTATAATAATCGTGTGAAATATAATAAAACCGAGTCTTGGCAGCTAAGACAAAGTACGAAATTAAGGATTGTATTCCCAACCCGGTAAAATGAAGGTACCAATAGACATTTCAATTGCCTTTACAATCTCCCTTTACTAATCAACTGAAACTCGTAGGTATTTTATCGTCAATCAAGTTGATTTCGTTTTGGGGTACCCAGAAACGGACGTGTCGGAAAAGTGTAATATTTTCGACGAATTTTTCAATTCTCTTTCGCGGAAATTCGAATACATTTTCAACTGGTATCGTTACGTTGATCACTCGTTCTTTGGAAACGATTTTATCGTTTCTTTGTCGTACGCTAGTAGCTACATAGATTTCCGTTTTCTTTTTCGAAAAGACATTATTAACTTGTCTGCAAAATATGCAAAAATAAATGAAGTCAAGTCTCCAAAGAATAAAACAGCATATCATGTAAAATCAAGACACGCCGCAAAAATGTCTAATTTTTTACATAGGAATTGTTCACAGTGGGATTCCTCGGCTGCTCACCGTAAATTCCAGCGTTTTCATTATACTCTGTCATAGGAAAACTGAAACGGCGAGACAACGAGAGAATTTAATTAAAAATTTTGAATGTTAAAATTTTTAGATTGGCTCCACAGAATCCGAATATACGTGTTCATTACTGATTCTTGCATTAAGTAAGCTTCTGTAAATCATTGCCATTTAAAAGATATCGTTTGTTCGTTTTCATTTACGGTTTGTGTACTTTTTGTAAAAGACTTAACACCTGATAAATAAGGTTTATTGTTGTGTAATGTACTTCGTACCATGTATCAAGTTACTTGATTCCAATAACTAATTAACGATCGTTGAATTCCTGAGAATCCACTAGAGAATTTCTATTGAAACGGTAAATTTCAATTTATGTAATGAGCTTTATGCGAGCATAGTGTCTTAAACGAAATTGTTTGGAAATTGCGACATGAAATGGGCATGTTGTATGTCTACATTCTACGTTATAACACGGAATATAGGAAACGTGACGTCATAATTACGTGGTACTTGAAATGATAGTGAGTGGCGAATTAATTTCGAAAATATTTGGTGAGTTGCGTGGTATTGTTGTTTATGCGTGTTATGTGGTCCCCAGGTGCAAAGAGGTCACACCCTGACTTCCCGAGGGTGTCGTTTTAAACCATGACATGGGTTTCAGCATCCTTGTACACAATGACAATAATTTGACAGTCCTAATGTGAATGTCAGGCGTGGTTAGTAATCGATCATCACGATTTGTGAGTTAGGGACTGACGCGACTAATGAAATAATACTTAATGTTAAGTTATATGTAATTAATAATCGTGTTAAGCTTGTCAGTTAAATACAGAAACATTATTATGATTATCATTTATGTATTAAAACAACACAGTGAAACATATATCTATTAAAAAAAAATACCTATAGATAAATGACAACAGTGAACAATAATTTATATAGCCTAACTTTTTGCGTCTTACTACGTCAATCAAATCAATGCAAATTCTCGTATATAGGAATTATTCCAAAGAAAAATCTATCAGCACAGCAGATACTTTAAAAAACCATTAACATACTTTACACTACAATTTAAAAAGACATACAAAATCTAAGAAAAGAATTATACTAGTCATTCAGACGATTCAGTCCTTTGTTCATGTCAAAAACATTTCAAAATTTCAAATTAATTCGGTACTAGCGTGTTTAGTTACTGGCCAGTTATAAAGTGTGGCTAATTACTAAGTTTTTACCTTCGTGGTTATGAAGCCATTAACCCCGATTACTGCCACCACTCTATTACTCATTCATTCACTCATTCAATTGTTCATTCAAGCTATGAACTAGTGCGATGCAATTAATTTAAGAATTTTGTTTTACTGCTTGTAGTAAATACGAAATCTTATAAGAATTGTATACAAAGGGCCGATTTTTCAATTTTCAGTTATTTCTTAACTGCAGAATAAAATTGACATTTGAAATTTTTTTTGTATGGAAGAACTGTCAAATATTTAAAGTCTATTATCGACTCTATATTATGTCATAAACTATTAGAAGATATTAGCGGTTTGAAATGTAAATTAATAAATTGATTGAATTGAATTAATAGGTACCAACAACCCGACATTTTTGTAACCGAAAACGTCCAATTATTCTTTGACCGACCCTAATAAGCTCCTTACTTGCTTACAACAAAAAGCGTATATACTGTAGAATTGAGAAACTCCTCCTTTTTTTGAAGTCGGTTAAAAGGGTAATGAATTATATGTAACATCCACTTTTTAGAGAACATTTAAAAGTCTCAAGCTTTGTTGTTTGACCTGGGCCAGAACCTCTTTGCCATTTGAGGTATTATCAATAGAACAATGCCATGCGTTCTAATTTGATCGATGGCATTGTTTGTGATCGATACCATATTGACTGATGGAACCGTTGATGGATACGTTCCCATTAATTTGATTACCATCAAACTCACTATTTGCTTCTATTTCATAGTATATTGGTTTATCCTCCTTATAGTGGAAGGATACATCTGTTTTTCAATATTTCTATGAAAATAATCATCAAGGTAATACCTAAATATCTTGAACATATTGAACAAGACAGACTTGAAAAGTAAATATTTACTCAAGTACTCTTTGAATCTTATTTATATTCAACTTAGGAATACACAAAACATATATAAACATGGTAATAAAAAAAAACAATTCACAAACATGCACAAATAAAGGCAAACTTCTAACACTGCAGATACATTCCAAAGCCAATCCACCTTAACAACTTGATACATCGCAGTTCTTTGCCCAATTTAAAGAAACTTATAACTATAAACTTCCTATATACAATCCGGAAATCACAAGCACACCCTTACCCAGGGAATTAGGAAAATAGCCGAACGAAGTAAATGAGTGTAGCAAGGCAGTTAACCTAATTACAAGCAAACAAAGCGAGAATAAATGACAGTCCCTAACCAATAATAGTATTGGTTGAGTGCTAGTTTAATTTTCGCCACGTCCATTATCTTTAGTCAACAAGTCATATTTGAGAATGTAAGTAGTAGTGTTCTCAAGTTTTTTTATTTAGTGTGAAACTTATGGAAAAGATTTCAATTTTGACTGCACGGTTTGCGCAGTGGTCGGGTTCGATTCCCGCACTGTGTATCTTTGTGTGATCCACAGATTGTTTTTCCGGATCTGGGTGTCATGTGTATGTGAACTTGTATGTTTTTAAACGCACCCACGACACAGGAAAAAATCAGTGTAGCAACGATTTCAAAAAAAATGTACTAAAACCATGTCATCAAATCAATAGTGATTCCTCTGATTCTTTTCCATCAGGTGGTCCGTTTACTTGTCAGCCCACTTTCGCATATTATGCACTTTTGAAAAACTGTACATAATAAAAATCCGTTTTCCATATAAATACATTAATTTATAACTTGGAAAAAACAAGTAAGAAAAATGGATTAAAATGGCTCTTATTAATTTACAAAACATGTAATATCTAATCTTTACTTTTTCATTGATTTTTCTTTTACAAAATAAATCTGGTTTATATACATAGGTAAATTCCATAAGTTAGCTTACCTATTCATACTCTCAACACAAACGCTTTGGTCAGATCCTTCAATTTGTCGACATTTCTAACAAACCCTTTCAGGCTAAACGGTAAGCTGCGACTCGTTTTAATGTGAATATAAACCAAATTCTCGTTGAGGTTCGAACGTGATTATCCCAGCTTAGAAGTTCTTGCCTTTTGTAAAACGTTTGTAAATTGTTTTATAGTTTGTAATCTGCGTTTCTATTTATGTAGTGGCGACCCAAAGAGTGTGGGCTGATGACAATTATCTAAAATGTCACCCTAAATGTATTAGCACCGCAGATAAATAGTTTTGAATGCGAGCTATTGGAGAGCTAAAATAAAGGGTTGAACAGTTGGGTCATTTTAAACTAACCTTTGTAAGGATTGTGAAACCGTGTATGTTGATTATGTGTGTCTTTGTCCTTATTTTCATCACTCATTTAATCAATCATCACGATGATCGTGATCATCGTGATTTTATTTATATAAAAGTTGAAATTTATCGTCATTGATGTCGTACGTTACCTTTTCTTAAACTCATTTTTTCGTAGTTATTCCCAATTCTTTCATTAGAAAGTATTGCCTGCATTTAACTTTACAATCTAAGAAGACATTATATACCTACATACAAGTACAAAAACACCCATCCTAAAGCAATACCAACATTATAAAAGCGTATGGTCGCTTGCCCACAATTGCACAGTGGGCAAACAAATTCAAGAACGGTGACCCGTTTCCCTGAATCGACACTTAGCTCTTCACTATTGAACTCGTTACAGAAATTGTATGTTTAACCTACCTCTGTGTATTTTTGTTCCATTGTTCTATAAAAGATGTGTAACTATATGTTCAAAGATATTGTGGAATAAAACTTCAAGTTATCGAAAGCTTTTTTTATGGGTAAACGAGCAGACGGATCACCTGATGGTAAGCAATTGGCGTCGCCCATGGACACCGTTACAAGTGCGTTACCGGCATTTTGGAATTAGGAATTGAGTTTAGCACTACCGATTAACGCTTGTCTATATTAGCGATTATCTATATTTAGATGCAATGCACACATCTAAAAAATGTTTACACTAAAGAGTAGTATTATTTTTCTGTTCATAATTTGACCTGCACTTATCTTTATCAGGCAATGTGAAAATAATATTTATGTCACTTTTAACAAGTCTATCAGTGTGCAAAATTAACCAATAAAATAACATCAATGATTAAAAAACAATACAATTCTAACTTTACTATAGAAACCGAAACCGTATACGTCTTTTAAAGACCAACCTTGACATTAAATTCGACCTTAAAATGTTCGAAATCTCCTGTTATTAACGATGAGTACCAATTACAGTTCTAATTAGTACATGCCAATACATATTTACCATGTTTCCTTCCTACACAATTTTAACATACCAATTTATTATGAAACAGCTCCTTAACTAAATTATACTTAATTAATTACCTACATATTTTAATAATAGGTACTATTTTAGGCACAGAATTCTCTACAATCTACATTCCTATAACTCTAGTTGTCTTGGTGGCGGTAGAGAGTAAAATATATTTGTGGTCCACCCCTGTGGTCCTGCAAGTGGCCCAAGAGGTGAATAAGGGACAAATCGAGCAACAGCGTTTTCTGATAAACCTGAACCTTTTAACCAGCGATTTCCAACCCATCAACCGCGAGGATTACCTATGTCAAACTCTCTAACACAGACGAGGCCCAAAGTTCACTTAGTCTACCGTCACTTACACTCTAAACCAAAAATCCATATTTATACAACGAACCTAATCTTATGTACACAAAATTATTCTCGTTCATAAGCAAACATGTACAAAAACCGATAAAATATCAATCACCCAAAAATAAAATGTCTATATGTAACCATATACCAGTTTATTGTCAAAACCCACATATTGAATATGAAGAAATAAGCCGCCGAAAATGGCCTACGTAAATAGCCAGTTTGGCGTAGGCGTCCAAATTCATTGAATATCAAAAGGATAATAGATATATGGGCATCCTGTACCTTACCTGAACCACAGCTTTGTCCACTTCAATAAACATGCTGTTTTGTATTTTAGAAAATAAAGTTATTTATTTTGCATAAATATGTAAAGCCACAGTGTGAAAAATTTCAGAGCATGTGTTAAATTCAATTATCAATGATTTAATTCAATCCAATTATTATCAATATAATTTTTTTAAGGTGTAAATATTTTAGTTATTAGTATTTTACACTGAATCAGTATACGAATTATCACTTTTAATAAAGTTTTCAACTATTAAAAATAATAATTTCAAGACGATTCCAAGTCTTGTCTATCACTTTACTATATTCCTAAAATTATTCTTATATCTAGTCTAATGTTAGAAACCATTATATATATTGGTTCTAATATTTTTCTTTTATTTTTTTTAGGATTTTGGTCCGGGCAATAAGCTACACAGTCCACGGATTGATTCCTGCGTCATGCGTATTCGCGGACCGCTACAACCGTGAGGAGGTGGTGAGATCACTGGGCAAAGAGGTCAACATCAACCCGCCGTTGATGCTGGGTCAGCTGCCAGATACACCAGAAGAACTCCTTAAACTTGACCAGGTAAGTTTTAAAAAAAGAAATTACTCTAGTACTACAGTAGAATAGTAGATACTTCTTCGTGTTGGAATATCACAATATGCTTGGTTGAAAGTATGTATCTACACTAAACTTTATTACGTCACGAATTATATTTCCCAAAAGGGTAGACAGCTATGAATGTACATACATAGGTACATATAACATGTGAAACTCATTTTTCGCCAATTCTGTTATGAGTTTCTCGTGCATACCTATGACAGCATTCTTGTATTTGACACAATTCCAGTCTCAGAAACCTGGGAATGACACGTATTACATTATAATATTTTACGTGGCCTTGCATCCGAAGTGGCACTTTAAAATTTCGGTTTCAGTATTTGCCGACTTTAAAGCAAGGATACACAAACAACCCACCGAGCGAAAACAAACATTAAGAAAATCACGAGCGAAACCCGTCTTATCTCATTTAGCATTCGGCTCGAAGAGAATACAGGATCGCGAGTAAATTAGCAGTAAAACCTTTCCCCAGTCGCTGCGATTGTTTTTTCTGTTACCAATTACGAATAAACGATGGCGTTTACTGCCATGAAACATTGATGAGGCCCGTTAGTCGCGAGGCACGCAGGATCGTAGGGGGACGTCTACGGCGCACTCGCATGGGGAGGGAGCTCTCTCGGCAGCTCGAAGCTAATCACGGTAATGGAGTAATGACAAGTTAGACACAACTACTCCCGTCTCACAAACTTCGCGCTCACATGAAACCCAGTACGAGACATTAAAATATTACACGGCTATATTATAACTTTGAATTGGAAACGCGAGTTACAGCGGGATGTCAGAGCTAATTACTTTGAAGTTAATCTACAAGCATCCATTTAAATATATTACCAACATTTTCTAAGAATATGAAGGTATTTGTATGAGTAATTAGGGCTAGAAGGCTCATAGTCGGATGTTTATGAGGTAGGGAACTTATGGCGGTACGCCAAAAGAATGAAATAAATAAAGAAGGAATTTTGTACGTTAATCCCCTATCTTCACAATGTCTATTAAAACTTGGCACACAGATTTTCAAACCATCATCTCTTTTGTAAACATAACGAAACATCACGTATTTTCTCCCCTCCAAGGTAGGCAGAGGTGTATTATAGTTAATCCAATTATCCTCAGTTTCATTATTAGTGCCATGTAATGGGGGGCGGGTCTATTGCCATGCATAGCACGGAATCTGGGAACGTGCGCGCACATTCGGATGAATATTCCGAAACCTTATCGAACTAATGACTCTGCGCTCTGATACCGTATGTTCGTCTACAAGACCAATGAGATAGAGACTCTTGTTTCATTTCAAAGTGTGTATGATAAGTATTTATTCATAAAAACGTAGTTATTTTTCTTTGTAATAAAATTTTGTACTGAAACAAGCAAACGTTTACTTCATCTTATAAATCAGTTGGTTGCTTTCAAAAACAAATAGATAAAAAGCGAAAACAAAACCCCAAACCGACCACTACCGTTATAAAGCTATCCAAATGTACGTATTTTTCAAATGTCAGTATCTTTAGTGTAAGCCTCGTCACGTGTAAAAGGAAAGTGCACGTAAAAAATACTGAGGCAAAAGATTCAATTTTGTGTGTAGTGGATAAGTTTGTCCGATCCAGTGAACTGCCAATTTTCATTACGTACGTTACGTACGTTTATAAGTCAGAACTTTGTTGAGCTCGGCCCATTCCGGTCTGTCCTTTGCATTTCGAATTCACTGTATATGTCGGCTTTCTGAATATAACAGTGAGTGGGGCTTATCTGCATGAAGGGACGTAAACCCCGCGATGAAATGAAAATTCGAAAAATTTCTACACTCATACCTCATTCATAATTTATGATTTTCACCTGGACTGGTTGGTTGAGATTGTTTTACTGGAATAGTTTATGTAAAGTTATCATAAAGTTTTGATATATTAAAAAGTTGACAATAACAGAATTGTTAACTTAAAAATATAGTTAGATATTTAATACAATTTCCATGAACTTAATTTGTGTAAAATATACTAATTCATGCATAATGTAACCTACGCTACCAACTGTTGCTAATCAAATCTTACATTTCACGAGGCCATATGAATTTCACACTAAAGAGAAATATTATCATACCAAATTATAATAAATTCTCCGTAGACTTGATGAATTTCTAAACTGTTACTTTACAGGCAACACCTAATAAAAAAACATATTAAAAAAACCTTTTAAGTGTCACTGGCCTAAAAAATAAATGATAGCCACAAACTGAGGACCATAAAGCAGTAAATGACTATTATAATGAAGTCCAACGTGAGACCAAAGTATCAAAGACAGACAGCCTAAAAAAACGAATAACCAATTCCATTAACGCTTAGTGTGTACTTAGATCGGACGAAGAACACTATTAATAATAGCGTTTCTATCTCCTATTCTCTCTATACACTCTTCTTGATTGAAATCTGTAAATAAGAAAAACGTCTGTTACTTTTTCACTGACTATAATGTAATCTGACCGAAAACATGGAACGAAGTAACGCAGCGTGACATGGATGGCTTGACAAGAAGAACCAAACGATACTGGAAACGTTACGAGACTTAGTCACTTTTTGTCTAAAAGAAATTGTTTTAGATCCATGCTGACAGCCACTTCCACCTGAATGATTTATGATCTGTGCCGCTCTTTGGCTGCGTTCGATTTTCGAAAATATTCCGTTAAACAATAAACAATACGGATGTGTTCGTATTTTGCGAGTTCCACCGATTCATCATTAAGCTGTCAGATGTTGATGCAATGCATTAAGATTTAAATTATGAATTTGTATTTGGAATACTGATTTCAAACTCCTTAATTTAATTGAAACTTTCTTTGTTTTCCTGAACTTTTTTCTGTTTATTTCTTTTGTCTCAATGGGCAGTGAAATATATGTACAGTATGTAAGTACTCATACATTTCACTCAATTCAATGACAGTACATAGGTCCACCGTCTACAAATCCATTTATTATCTGAGTCTCCTGCAAAAGATAAACTAGCAAGTAGATGCAGTAAACCACATTGAGTAACATGACTGTCGGAAGACGCATATCATAACAGATTTTTCGTTTGGGTTCATATTAGATAATAGACGTCAAAGAAATTTTATTGAAATTTAAATGGACACATTTATTTAGCGAGGTGTATATACCCACTTAGTTTATAGGTAGTTTAGGTACATTTAGAAGTCACAAGTCCTGAAGTTCTACCTAATCAATAAACACAAGTTCAAATGTCATGACACCATTTAGGATCAATTTGCAAGAACTCTGTACGGAAACATTAAGCTTCCCTCAGTTCTCCGTTATCTCCGTTTTTTCTCGTTAAAACGTTAACGATGTCGTAAAAAGTGTTTCTTTTACAATTGTTCGTACAATCGGGGAACACATCAACCTTCCTCCCTTACCTTTATAGCGACTCCATAATATTATATTTCCACAAAATCGATGCCTTCAGCAATCTCATAACGAATATTCAAATCGAGTTGGTTTGGACCTTTTTATTAAAATTCATACCTTTTTGTTGCGTGGCTGCAAATGGGACTACAGAGACGAGTACTATGGTTTCAGACTCCGAGTTGCATTAAGAATTTCTACCCTTTTTGTTTTAAATTCTGCTATAACATATTATTTGTATGCTACCTGTGTAGGCAGTGTAATGTTGCCCGTTGCAAAAATTTTTTCATTTACTACTTGACTACTGCAGATAAAAATTGGGAGTTACATTACATAACCACTATGATATTGTAAATTACAAACTCAAATAATTGTGTCGTTACATTAATTTCATTGAAACTTTGCCAAATCAAACTGTTACTTCATATTGACGTATGCGACTGGCCTTATACACACATACAAATATTTCTATACGTCTGTATATGTAACAATCACCCACAGAAGGTAATGTACGTAATACGCATCAGCGTGACATCACCTACTCTACGTCAGGCCATAACCGTCCAATTTTCATCTCCATTTTATTTGCAATTTCCTCTCAACTACTTTAACATACGCCACTATATAATGTAACGACACGGCTTCTTTTCCTTCAAGTAGGCTTTTTACGACACGAATTTAGAGATAACTTTTTGTATAATATTTATTTTTGTCTAATATTCTTGCATTTTTAAGAGGGCACCGAAAGTCAATACTTTATATTGAGAAAATTTATCTCAATAACCATATACATCATCATTATCACCGTGCCAACCACAAGACGTTTACTGCTAAATATGTACCACCTCAAGGACGGAGAGAAGCTGGTAGAAAGCAATCAGAACCAATAATATTACTACTAATTCAACCAATTAGCCTAATTCGCAATTCTCTTAAGAAATTAGTGTTTCCCAAACCGAATAATGCTTACCACGACTAGAGAAAAGAACGTGCGGGTACATTGTTAGTCTGTGAGTCACAATCGCAACATAAAATATTCCCGAGCCGCATCCCGCGGCGAATATATGTATGTAGCTACTACCTACGTAAGTTTATGTCTTCTTTATTAGGTAGTAGAAAGACAGTAAAATGTGTTCTCATCAAACGAAATGCTCGTCTAGTCTTCTGTTTTGTTCTGAGGTGAAATATTGAACTATGTGATATATGCGAGCTCACGCATAGGGAGGATGTCTTTAGAGAACAAATGTATGAGGTGTTATAAAAGAGATTTATGATCTTGAAATTTTGCTTCAGATAAATCCAATATATTTTAGAAAATAATGACACCAACATGATAATAAATCTAACGTGTGTTTTCATAAGATTTTGGCACTTAACTGCTTCTTGTGGGTTGCACACGATATCTAATTGGCAGCTATACCTACCTATACAAATACAACTCGATCTTAATACATATCTACGGAAAATCAAGGAAGTTATCGAAGAGTGCTGAGCAAAACAAACGCCATAGCAAGGAATTCAGAGAAAACATCAATCATGTAAAATTGAACGGAGTCCCGTGTTATTACAGGTTACTTTTGTCCTGCTGTCAATCAAGCAATAGATACGTATCGAACCCTCTCAAATATTAATTAGGCTTTCGAAACCACTAATAGTCATAAACAATTCAAAGGTTACAGTACACAGCCAGGTTGAACCGTCGTTGAAATATTGAAGAACCCAATTAAGTGGTCGATTTCTGGTACAATTTAAGACCAGTAACCTGAAAGGACAATAGGCTACTTTAAATAAATATTGATTTGGAAGAAAGAAAGAATAAAATAGACTGGAACATTTGAAGAAAAGGTAGCCACTTCAAATAGCTGAAGAATTCAAGTGGATTCTTCATAATGTTGAGTACGCTTGGTAATGGCAATTTACTATCTTATTTTAACAAAACGAGAACGAAGCTTTCTTGCTACCGTAAGTAGTACAAAAGAAATGTAAGTGATATATTATTTTATCCCGTAAACTATTTAAATCGAAACATTGTCTGTGAGTAGTTTTATTATTTGTGGAACTTTCCCAAGTAGTTATCTAGTTCGGAAAATTCCAGAAGTAACCACGGTCGCCACGGTACTGAGTGTAATCTAAGTTTGATCGAATATCAGCAAATTACGTGAATCAAATGCTCATGTGATAATGATTAGGTATAGTAAGTAACAACTAGGTAACTACTAAAGTTACTAGTAGGTAGTATTTTTAGGAATTAATTCCAGATAGAGTAGTTAACTAGTTATCGTTACCTACTCACAATACCTCTCACCACTCTCCTTATAGCAAATAACGATATTAAGTAATCGACCGATATGAAGTAACTTCTCGATTTTTCCATCCCCCAATCGGATCGAAATAGATTAGAAGTGTCCCTAGAGAAACTAGATTCGTTTCCGAAAAAGTATTCATATTAATCCGGATAACGGTTCTTCTTAATGTCTCCTCTCGAAGCGATCCGAACGAATGGTCTGATCACTTCGTAATTGAGGAGAGGTAAACATCTAAGCACTTTATAGAGTTCGCGAGTGAGCCAAAGTTGTTCACTTCTTCACAAAGTTAACGATAAATATTTTATTTGTATTGCCCTCCGACATTCGACCGTTGACGGCCTCTGTTCTATTATTTGCGGAATTTCCTCCATTAAGATATTAAAACCGGCCAAGTGTGAGCCGGTACGAGTCTTACAAATGCGATGGTTCCGTACTATTGATACGTCTACTTCCTTTAAAACGATGTATCGTTTTAAAAAAGTCAACAAATGTATTTGTTGACTTTTTTACTATAACTTTATCATCCAAATCTATGTTAATTGACATTTACGACATTTAAAAAGAAAATAGGTTGCTGTAGTTAACACAGACACAGAAATTGAGTACCTCTTTTTAGCACTTTCTGAACACTATGCACAATAAACCATAGCTACGTAACACTTATGTAACCTCTTTATTTTTAGTAATAAATCTAGTTCATCAGTAAAGTGGATATTTTTACTGTAGCTGGACATCAGGGACCATTGTATATAGGCTCAGATAGAAAAGATAATGATCACTGTCCCCAAGGCCCCAGCGATCGTACTCCGATCAAAGACACCATGCAAGAATAAATTGCTTCTCTCTTCCTCATTTTATTTTATACAGTAATAACAACACTACCTATAAGAAAACATCATCTCGCCTTCCTATGAGAGGCTAAGACCAATTTTTATTTATTTATTCATCACTGTTATAGATAATTGTTAGAGTGTAAGGCATACTGTACACGATGCGTCATTTGACGAAGGCATCAATCCTACAAATGACGAGAAGAAAAAGTAAGAAAACTCGATTTTTTAAACTAATTTTTAGGTTTATAATTGAATCACGCTGGATATATCTAGATTAATTGACAAATTATTGTTAAGCAATTCTTATGGACAGGAATATTAGAACAAAAGAAATTTTGAATTTTTTCTTTTCCCGAATACTTAAAAATTGAAATACATTTTAAGCTCATTGTAATACATCACTAGTATAGACCAAAAAGGCAGTTCTGCGAAAATCTCCTCAGTTTTGCTTGATTGAGCACATAAGATTCTATTTATTGGAATACCGTTTGAGTTATTTGTCGATTTGTTCTGAAACAGTTGAGAATAAGACGGTTCTATTGAGTCTGAGTGCCATTGGTTATCGAAAGGAAAGTATCTTATTTAACACAACATTAAGCGACTGTTAACGTTGTATATTGGAATATTAAAGATACGAACCGAATAACAAGTTTGTAACTTTGGTTTCTGTATTAATTATTATTAGATGAACGACTTTTTGAAAAGATTTGAATCTGAGATTGTTGAATTTGCTTCATCCTGGGTAGTGGTAAGTCAAGTGTCAAGCAATGCCGTACTGTGTCTTTGTGCTTGCGTGACTGCCTCGTTGGCTGAGTAGTCGCAAGTTCGCACTTGCCGTCGGCAGTCGCCTGCCGGGCAAGGGGTCTCGGGTTCGATTCCCGGGTCAGGCAAAGTACTACTGGGTTTTTAAAAAAAATCTTAGTAGTAGCACGGAGTCTGGAATTGTGCCCGGTATATGGCAATAGGCTCATCTCCTATTACATGGGACTCATAACATAAATAGTGAAAAGTGGGTGTTACATTGTACAGTGACATAATGTGCACCTCTGCCTACCCCTTCGGGGATGTTATGTTATGTTTATTAAAGAAACTGATATCTAATTACAGGTATTCATAAAATCGGAACTGAAGGTCGGAGTAATCTACGTAAAAGAAAACCAGTACACAGAAGAAGAAATTCTGGACAATAACGAAAACTCTCCGATGTTCGAGGAGTTCTTACAAGTTTTAGGAGAGAAAGTCAGACTTAAAGGTAAAAGTAGAATTCAATTCAAAATCGAAGAGGTCCATTTTTTGCAAATATTTTCCCCCAAAAATAGATTTTTACAGAGGTACGTCTCAAAAATTTGCATACCCTTACTATACATATTCCTTAGAAAATTACACTGAGGAATGACACATTTTCCTTAACAGCAGTTTGAATTCATCACAACTTAATATTTCCAGGTTTTGATAAATACAAAGGCGGCTTAGACACGGTCCATGACTTGACTGGCTTGTACTCAGTGTACACAAACTGGAGAGGGATAGAAATCATGTTCCACGTGTCAACCCTACTGCCTTACGAGAGGCACGACCCTCAGAAACTACAAAGGAAACGTCACATAGGCAACGATATAGTTTGTGTCGTTTTCTTGGAAGCCGATAACACTGCGTTCTCTCCAGCCTGTATCAAGAGCCACTTCTTGCATACATTCATATTAGGTAAGGAGTTTATTGAATTGTATGACTTATGATTCAAGAAATTCAAATCATATTCTTTTATTCTCCAAATAGACAAGCATAAGGTCGTATGATGGTAGACGGTCACCGAATTCTAAGAACAATTGCAACTTCAGAAGCATCACTAGTGCGGAAATTAATGCCATTCATTACTATTATAACTATTGTAAAATGATTTATTTTAATTATTAGTTCATCATCATAATAGATTCATCAACAATAAAAAAATAGTTTACATGAATGAGTCGTCTCATTGTTGTCACATAATAGTACGTCTATGACTGAACAATATTATAGTCCTAGCAAGAAGTAGGTACCAAGTCAGTCACTTAACAGTCGAAGTAACTTTCAAATTCTTTTAAGTTTAATTCGTATGACGTTAATCTTATTTGTGTACTTTTTTCTTATCGGGGCTTTATTAGATAAAAGTGTAATTAAACGTTTACAGTTCGAGTATCAGCAAAGATTAAACGCAGACCAACGCGGTACGAAGTGTCAGTGGTGACAAGAGATGAAGTGGGCGCCTACAAGCCGTACTTGTGGGAGCAAAGCGTCTTTGATAAGGGCCCTATGTTCAGGTAATTAGACATCGTTTAGCTTAACGTAATCTCTTTTAATAAATCAAATCACTTCTATAGTTATCAAAAAAGTATCATCGAGACTAACTCAGAACTGCGTTAGAAATCAGTTCATACCTTTCAGGAAACACGGACTCTGGCAAAGAACTCTCCTCAAGAAGGCATCATATTCCGTAACCAAAACGTAAAACCATTGACGTGTTTAATTAAACTTGAAACTGAATATTGGTTTAGTTAGCAAATCGACTTAGTAGCTTACACCGAGTTAACACCAATATCTACGCGGTTACCTAAACGCTTAAATGAGAACTGCATCTAACTGTTGCAGATAGTTTCAACCGGCTTTGATCAAGTTATAATTGACCGCAGTCAAAAGCTTTGTTGAAGATACATAATGAGTAGTTGGATAACTAGTATTTAACTAACAAAGTCCATATTAGTAAAGAGGAACTAAACGAGTCTGACTTTTGATCTGAGATTTGCACTAACAACGTTTATCCAGTTCCAGTTTAGTCTACTATTAGTAGGGGCATTGATTAAAATTGGTGCCTTTCTTTTTTCTGGCGGCAGTCGATGATTTATGGAAAATATTATCTAGAATGACATTACAAACGAAATTGTCTATGGGCTTATATATGGAAATCTCAGTCTGGACTGAGTTATGAGCGTTGAAAGGAGCTGGAGTCAAACATTTTACTTCGGTTTTTTATTCAAATTATTCATAGTTTTGTCACAATTTCTAACTTCAAATTGCGCGCCACTGTACTCCGGGCACAGGAAAACCATATCACACCACAATATATTCATATTGCCAGGCACTAATTTTTATTACCTATTTTCTCTCAGTCGATAACTTGTGGGATGCTTCTAGGAGTTGTGTCATGAAGCTTCATGAGCGTCAGCTGTGGTACCAGTGGTGGGTTGAGTAGTGGTAGCCGTCCAAACATCTAATAAAGTATATTTTTTTTGCCATTGACTCCTGGTGGGACACTCATCTACTTAATAGTTAGCATAATCTTTTGAAGAAAGAAAACCGTCGACTTTTAAAGTGAACACGCTAGCCAATCAAGCGAAATGTTTCTTTTTCTTCAGCAGTGGTCAGTTAATGGTTCACTCTGTTCTGATTCAGTGGCCTTATAAAAAAAAAAAAAAACAAAAAAAAAATAAGTAAAAATGTCCACATTTGTGTTATATTCCTTGAAATCGTTTATAAACATTTATTACAAAATATTTCTGACAAGTAAATGAAGAAATATGCGTTGTGTACAGTCACCATCAACAAAATCACAGGGATAATATAGCACTATTTTCACATCTTTGAACTGATTTAACTCGATTTGGACTGTGTTTATGATATAAGACCCCATATATTTTTTTGTTTGTAATGTTATTCTGCCTCAGTTTTTCCACATCCGATCAACTGCCGCGAAAAAATGAAAAGGCATCACGCTCCATACAAATTTGGTCATTGTCATTTGTAGTTTTTAAGGACTTATTTTTTGTTAATCACTTTAATCACTCACTCACTTTAATTAGATAATAATATATTGTTGCAATATGTGTATGGAATACTGTCTAAGACCACTCATTATTTTTCTGCTAATGAATAGAAAAGAAGTCAAAGTGTGAACACAAGCTGACAGAAATTGATAGGGCTTCCTAAGTGCACTATTTCATTCTTTAATCATATGTTTCCAGGGAATGGTTGCTGACTAAAATAGTGAACGGAGAAAGAGCTTCGTATTCCGCGCCCAAATTCGCAAGAATGCAAGAAAGAACTCGCAGTCAAATGCTGGAAGACATCGTTGCTAACTTGCAGAACCACGCCGAGACAGGACAAATACCGAAACCTTACCGAAGAGGTTAGTTATCTATATCTTCTATATCTATATCTATACATATAATAAAATTGTAGGAAAGTGAAAACTGTTTGTCTGTTTGTCTGTATGTACGTCTGGGTTAAACTCAAAAAGTACTGAATGGATTTACTTTAATATTACTTACAGGTCGGTTCAACATATAGACTACATATTATCACGCTATCATCTACGGAGGGGGAGCTGTGAATCACTATTCTACGCGGACGAAGTCGCGGGCACAGCTAGTCTTTAATACATCTTTTATTTTATTTTTATCCTCTTTTTTACGATTAACATCGGAATTTAACCAACTGAAAGTTAACAATGTACTTTAAATACCAATGAGGCAGTGGTTTAGAGGCAGGGTGTGAGAGCTAGAACGGGCAAGGTGTCATTTTAGGTTTAACTGTTTTTTACCAATAATAACACGAAATCTGTACTTTCTTACTCAGGATCATGGCGTCCTATCGGTCACATGCGACCATCATCTCCACTCCTAGACTCAGTGCGAGACCAGTTCGAGGACTACGACCAACTTGCGAAGGACTTCACAAGGGTGTTCCTCAACAGTGAGCTGAACATGGCACAGAATGCACAACTATTTGACGTGGTCTTCTTGGTGGGACAGTCGAAACAGAAGACCAAGTTTATTGGTGTTAGAGCCATACTTGGTGTGAGAAGCAGGTGATTATTTACATTCGGTATTTTTACTTATACACCTCGGATTGTATTAATTCACATTGTTCCTTTGCTATCTAGTATATGGTGAATTTTTATAAAAGATATATTCATATAGTTATATAATAATAAGTGTTCGAATACAAACTAAGAATTTTATATTAATTGTAATATTATATTCCAGGGTATTCCAAGAAATGCTATACGGCATCCAGACGGGATTCGGTTCCCCTCAAGTCCCGGTAGCTGAACTGTTGGCACGGCCAGCACCAACACTACTATCTCCGACTCCTGCGAGGCAAAAAAGCAGCAACTTCTTGCAAGTTCCTGATATTGAATCACCAAGGTAAGATATTTATATATATTTAAGAATTCCCAAAACGTCACGTAGACTTTATTTATGCTTAATAGGATGGCTTATGGCCACTATCACGCCTGGTGGTAATTAAGCCATGACTTGGCCGACGATGGAGCACGCCCTTTAACAAAGTTACAATACAAAAATATTAGGTATATGAACGACTGTCTTTAGTCATTCGTTGGCCGAGTGGTCGCAAGTGCGACTGCCGGGCAAGAGGTCTTGAGTTCGATTCTCGGGTCGAGCAAAGATTTACTCGGTTTTATAAAAAAATCTCAGTAGTAGCACGGAGTCTGGAAATGTGCTCACCCCCTATTTCATGGGATTCATAAAATAAATAGTGAAAAGTGGGTGTTACATTGTACAGTGGCAGAAAGTGCCATAATGTGCACCTCTGCCTACACTTCGGGGATAAAAGGCGTGATGTTCTATCTTTAGTCAATGAAGGTATTAATATCCAGAGCACCCGAAATTGATTCCAGGAGATTTTCATTCCGGAAGGAACCATTAAGTTTTATTAACTTTCCTACTATTAGCTCAAGAGCAAATTATTAAAATCGAAATATTAATCCAAAAAGTTGATCGTTTACCTAATCGAGGTTGCCAGGCTACTTATAACAGTAACATACCTACATATCATAATTCTGACAATAAACCTGTCATAACTCTAGCCAGAAAACGATTTACATTACAATATAATTACCTTTATGATTCATCATTAGTCATTAGATATTGACACATGATCGAATCTGTCTGCCAAGAACTGAAGTCCATTTAAGTGAATTCTTAACCTCACACATCTTAAGTATTTTATGTCCAGATTGCCCAGTGTAGAATTAGGCAAAGAATACACTGCTAGCATACCTAAGCCATGATTTTAGACTTCTTATCAATTGACGGCTCGGTTGGCGCGGTGGCTGGGCAACCGGCTGCCGCGCAATGTGTACCGGGTCCGATTCCCGCACGGAGCAACCGTTTGTGTGATCCACAAATTGTTGTTTCGGGTCTGGGTGTCGTGTGTATGTGAACTAGTATGTTTGTACGCACCCACGAGACAGGAGAAAATCTTAATGTTTGGCAACTGGGGAAAGAAAACAAAACTGTCGTATTTTATTTTATTAATAGACTCCACTCCACACATAGGATTGGCAAAAACTAATCATCGCATTTAATGTGCACACTGCCTATGTTCGTAGAACAAAAGTCATCATAATTATTAAAATAAGAAGATGATTAAGTTTCCATATTTCCAAGCAAAGTACCTCAAAATGTTTTTTTTTTATTTCAGGCCAAAAAGCGTACCTAGTTCTCCAATGGTGAAACGCGCCTTCTCCAGATTGGGTACCATAACAGCGGGTTGGGGACGATCTATTCGCAAGCAGCACTCGCAACTTAACGCAGAAGATAAAAAGAAATGGGCTAGTTCCCAAGATTGTTCCAGTAAGTTGATAATAAATATACATACCTGCTACTATTTATTGTCTTATCTTGCAAGCCGGTTATCCAGAAAACATTTGCTCGACTTATTTTTGAAAAGTAACCGAACCTGGGCCTTTAGCCAAACGCCACTTTAGCGCTTGTCTACAGAGAGAGTAGAAATCAAAATGTATGGGGATGACAGTGACAAGTGTCAAAATTTACGTCAATTCCATATAATTTGGGTTTCTATTCTACAAGTAGACAAGCGCTAAGTGGCATTTGGCTACAGCTGCTGTTCGAATTTCTTTCCGTAGTGCAATTTTATTTCATTGTTATAGATCTTAACATATATATTCACATTCAAAAGCATGTAAGAAACATTGTATAATACATTCATAATAATGGTTATGTCACCATGTCCTGTATGCGTTCTATTTTCATCCACAAATACCATTGTGTTTATGGAAACTATTCGTATTGACTTTGTTTCACAAAATGTATGTAAATACAATGTGGGACATTCCTAAACATGCCACGAAGCGCCTTTTATAAATCTGTGAGCAACGTTTATCAAATTGTAGTAACATCTCATACATTGTATTTGTTACTGGTATTTTTGTATGTAATGTTATACTGTAATTGCTTACAGATAAAGAAGGAAAAGATAAAGAAAAAGACAAAAATGCAGCTCTTGCCGTACCGAGACTATCCGTGTGCGCTGACGCACAAAAAGTCGATCGAGCTAAACTGGCGCAAACAGAGGTAAATTGAAAAAATGTTCTCTTCTATTTTTAAATTTCCTTGTTTAAAAATAACATTGATCACATATCTAACAATTGTTTGCTGTAAATAAACGTGACGTGTGTTCTATTTATTTTCCAGTTTTCAATAATCGAGTTCGATCCTGAAACTTTCCGCATCCTCCTGGACTACTTGCACACCGGCAGCTGCCCACTGACCTGCGCCTCAATACCAGGCCTCATTTGTGCCGCAGAGCATTACGACCTGCCTGAATTACTACAGGCGTGTTTCCACCATGCTAAACAATTCCTTAGAATAGAAGTGGTGTGCACGATGCTCATATCATTAGAAAATTACTACTGGCGATATACGTCAGCCTCGGAGTTGGTAAACATGATCCTGGCCTTCATCGAGCAGCGAGCGTACGCCCTGTTCCAGACTCCGGAGTTCCTCAACCTGTCCGAGTCCATGGTGCAGATGATCATGTGCCGGAACCTCGAAGTACCAGAGGTGAGGAAGTTCGAGGCAATGCTTAGCTGGGCCCGGAATAAGATCAAAGCCAAGTCCGCAAATAAGACTGATGCCAAAAATGAATTTAAATGCACAATGGAAAGATTAGCTAGAGACCTGAAGCTGTATAGGATCTCACCGCAAGAATTGATAAAGGTAGTGCTTCCGTCGAAGGCTATTAAGAACGAGCGGATCCTGGAGACGCTGATGTACCAGGCGAACTCCGGAATGTATAGGATTCAGGATAGCTACATCGAGGCCTGCCAGCAGCGCCTGCAGAAACAGGATTCGAGGTTCTCGGAGTTTGAAAGTTTCGATTACGGTATATAAACATGGAGCTGTGAGATATATCAGTGTATTAGATAGATTATGAAGAGTGACTGCGCTGGGTCCTTCTATAATGTGGTATGTTGACGCCTTCTAAAAGTATTATTGTTATAGATGTACTCGAATACTGTAGAGGTACGAGAAATATTTGTACACTTCTCGGATACCTACTCCATGTTATTGTTCATTGATACCTATATTTTTTACATCTAGCTAGATGTGTTCAATATCATAATCATCTCTATTTTTGGTACCAAGAATTACGATTAAAGATGTAAAATGTTCATCAACTGGAAGTTTAAAATTTTTACATGAAAATATATTATTTACATCCATGTTATAGCACGTTTTAAAGATTTTCCCTCTGTGATCTCCGATGGAAGAGCACAACATGATCTAATTATACCATGTGTAGTTAATTAAATGTAAATGGATAAAAAATAATATTTTCGAGTGTCACTTGTTATAACCACATCAATGAGATAGTTCGACATTCTACTAACGACTGAATCCAGGACCTGAACATGTTCAACATTGTACAGTACCTACTATACAAAACTTGATAAAATATATTATACTAATGTTCACAAAATAATAAATTTGTGCAAATTGTACAAACATTATCACTTAATAAAGTTATCCGTAGAATAAAGTTCAATATAATGAATACGTTGGTGTGAAACTCGTTCTTGAGACCTCTTCAAAAGTTATCATAGATAATGCCTTCTGATATATGTATAGAATGTTATACCTACCTATATGTATACTGCTGTTGTATTTACGATTAAAGCAAATAAAAAATAAGAGATTGTCACCAATTTATGCTAATTTTAGTTTATATACAAAATATAAAAAATATATTTTAGTAGTTGTAAAAGAGTTGGTTTATTTTATTTATAATATCTATTGGTGACAAACTTTATCCTTCGCACAATTTTATCCACAGGCAAAGCTTTAATTTTATTACTAAAGTTAAGCTCAGTTCTAATTTGTATTCATAACTATATTTTATCTTTATTTACATTAAAAGTGTACCCTTATTATGTATAGAGAAATTAATCAAATATTAGAGGACATTTATTTGTCAGAGTGTATATTAATACTAATTGGAAAAATGATACAAATGCGTCACGAAATCCATGTCTCCATTACATTTGGTCGTTTCGTTAGAAATTCGCCCCTATCTGTGTTCGATGGAATAAGTAATGTATAGAAAGTATATGTACCTAAATGGTCTAAAATATTTCGTATACTAGGTGTAATAATACGATTTATAATCGATTACGTAACGCCTTTGTAATCGGTATATTGTATGTAGTAGATAATATAGCAGGGTGTATTACCTAGGTTTAGCTTGGATTTGATAGCCGAATTTGGCCAACGACCAAGTGTAAATGAAGCATCACTAATAATTGTGTTTGTCTTGAAATATATACTTGTAATGAACGATGGCAGTTCATATAATAATCGTGATGCTCTGTAGAAAACTGAATTGTGCAGTCTGTGCTTAGGATAAGTTTAACTTATGATAACACATACAGACTGCATAGATATAGTTTATATAACTAGAGTTATCTATCTTCTACTCAAACTCACCTAGGTAAGTGTATCTACTTTGTGTTAATTGTTAAAGTGAAGACTTCTGAACCAAATCTTTTAGTATTTTTTACCCTTCTATACTGTCTGCTGTGGACGGAATATTGAGACCCATTTCGCGTATTCGTATGTAAGTGTATTTTGTTTAGCGCGTTTAAAACTAATATCTATCTCGGGAACACATTCCTGAACAATATTTATGCTGCTGAATCGGAACGAATCACTTTTAAATAAATATAGTCATCCTATAATAACCCATTGGTGTTATATATTTAGATCATAAACATTTGCTCGTTATTTTTCGTTTCGCATACATTTTACTATACGTCTTCACTTATTCTATTTCCGTGCGAGTTCTTATAGGTAGACTGTAAGAATGGACAGTCTGGTTTGAGATAGTCTCCCGATTCTGTTCGGTCGTTTCAACATGTTTACAAATGTTAGTATAATCTCAGCCTTAGTGCCAAGTTCCATTCATGTGCGCACTCGTCGTCTATATTCTAAATATTATAGTGAATATATATGAAATGGGTCTTCTAAATCTTATAAATCGTCATATAAAATAGGTGTTAATATATAAATAAATATTTAGCCTAAATTCAAACGTTTCTGACGTTCTGGCGAATGACAAGTAAACAAGTTGAATTGTCGGTAAAATTTTTATACTTATGAAAATTATACATGATGAGTAAAGTCTTCTATTAAATTATCAATAATTTTATATCGTTTAGTTGTAACTTTGCTCAAAGCTTCTATGAATGGTTCGCCGATATATAATATTCCGTGGATGTCTTATGTCGTATGCATGACTACCCAATGTCTTATGAGTTGAACATAATATAATACTCAATGTATGTATGTATACTTGTATAGATTTATTTTGTAGGAACACCAAATATTGACGTGTCAAGTTCTTCAATGGTTAAATAAGTTTTCTATTCCAAAATTTTAACCTTCCTGTGATCGTGAATGTTGCTATAAGTATGTTATTATGTGGGATCTTCAAAGAATATAAAAATTATAATTAAGTATAACTGTTATTTTGCAAGAGCAAAGCAAGATTATTATCCAATGAAAATTTATGTGGTGAATAAATTTTTTTGTGTATTTTATTTGTGGTTTATATCCCAAAATAGGTTGTCCTTGTACTGCTATATCTCTTAATCCCCTTTTCCTTCAGAGCTTATTCCTTGAATTATCACATTTTTGTAATAACATTACTTACGCCTGTCTCCATGAACACAGACACCGAATTATTGAATACATTAATTATTTACAAATATAAATTATTTTCCTGATCTGTGGACATCGATTTGGAAGGCCCATTATGGGACTAATAAACGCGTACCTATCAGAATTACTACAATAATAGATATTTCAATTTGAACATTCACAATGATTGCATAAAATCGAGATTTCACCTGAAGAATTAAAATAGGTTAAAAACTTTTCATAAATACTGAAATTGCCGAAATAACTAATTTGTTTACCTATTCACTAAAATATGATAAAACATTTTTATCTCCGAATTTCGGTATCAGCCAATGACTTTTGAGGTGTAAATATGTACCTGTCCAACATAAACTGTGATAATAACTTCATGACAAATATTAATTCTTGTCTTAAATGTAATGGATCTTTACTATACTTCGCACTCATTCTATCTCTATCTCTCTCTGTGTCTCGTCTATCTAAACATGATAATCTCAAAAACTACTGAACCAATTGCCATACAATTATCACCAATAAACTGTAGAGATGCGGAAATGTTTTAGCGTGCGGACCAGAAAACTAACCTAAACCAACCCTATACTTTAGGTATTATGCATGGGCCCGACCAGAACCCGAGTGTACGGCGCATCCCATTCCGCGATCGCCTCAAAGAACCATCAGACCACCACGGATGGGGCCCAATAGGGCTGATGCCGATACGGAACCGCGGAGAGCTTAACGGGTCACCAGGGCTGCGCCCGGCAAAGTGCATGAGACGGAACGGGGTGGTTTTTAGTCAGTAAGAGTCTAACACTCCCTTCCGCCTCACCCAGGCGTGAAAGCCATTCGATGATTTCCCCCCCTTAAAAAAATGCTTAAAGTACCGCAGCCATCTTATTACAATATCACCCTCATCGATCAGTTTGAATATGTCCATTACTTATTGAACACAGACCACCTTCTTTCTAGAGAAAGAAGTCCATCATCCGTTTGTTTCAGCAAAAAATTTGAGGAGGCCGCTGTCCGTCACATAGTGGCTAGACACAGTTATAAATAATAATAAAAATCGTATATTAAACACAAAAACTTCCAAAAGATATAAAAGTAATCTAATGTTTACATTATTATACAATTATAGTAAATTATAAATACTAATATCGTTTAGCGACTTACTTTAAAATAATCAAAGATAAATTTAGGATGAGTACAATTAGGTATTGTTTATATACTGTAGCGTCCCGCCTGGGGTAGTTTTCAGAAAAACCTGTGTTGCAGGCCATCACTTCACGTAAGAACGTACAATCTTTACAATTTATAAAAGAAATTATTTATATACCAAGCAGAATAAATGTTTACATTGATACATATCTGATCTTAGGTGCAAAATCAATCCTATCCTCTCAGATTTAATGGATTTTGTAACACTAGGAAAAACTATTTTTATTTTATAAGCAGATCAGACAATCAGATTTTTATAATCAATCAGAAAATACTTACAATATATGATTAGATAATAATTTTGCGAATAATAAGAGATGAAATAACAATATTAATATATTACGCATAAATAAAAAAAATAGATAGTAAGTACCTATACAAATTCTTTGAGTACAGAACTTACAATTTACAACGGGATGGCGGAAACGAGTTTGAATAATTTCAAATAACCGCGCCCGAGGATGTCAGCAGACGAAGCAAATTAGCGCTAAATAATAACAAGCATGCCCACGCATTGTAACACCAGTACACTATTTACAGAGCCACTAAATACGTAACCCTCCAATACAAATGAGAAGTCGGGTAAAAATAAAGTAAGTTAGTTTGCAAGTTTATTCCGCTACGCGCCCCGAATATAATATTTGCGGTATAATATTCTATACGTTCCATTCCTCGCTGCGGATAAATTTGACAGGAGCGTACGTGTAACGAAACGTGATTGGAAAGTTCGTCACGCCGCCACGGGGAGCGCTCGTGCGCCAGTCTTCTTGCAGCGGGCGCGCGGCCGGCTGCTTGTTGCAGTGCGCGGTACGAACCAACACACGCGAGTTCGCGGTCATAGGCTCGAACGAACATCGAAATCGACGGTCAGTGCGGTGACCATGATGATGGACAACGGAGTGATGTCAAATCACTATGACGGGTCGTACGCGGATGGGTACATGGAACAGGAGGAGGAATGGGAGCGCGAGGGTCTTCTAGACCCGGCTTGGGAGAAACAACAGAAAAAGGTCAGTTTTACACACCTCACACAATGTTGACACACGTTACGTGAGGTAGGTAAACGTAAAGTGTACGCGAGCGAATACCCAGTTTTAAATTATAAAATAATATCGCCGGAAAGCCTTATCTCTTGCGTTCGTGACTCATGTTTGTGTATTTACAAAAAATATATATTTTATCTGCAAATCGATAAAACAGAAGTCACACATAATACTGTTAAACCGGCTCGGGACTACTACACTACTACATCTGATTGCACCTGGTTTATTAATTACCGGCGCTGACATAATTTATCTGATTATGAATCTAAATATAGATATAAAAACTCTAAAAATATGAATTATGACAGGTTTATTTTTGCTTAAAAATAAATGTAAAATTTAAAAAAAAATATGTAAAATAAAAACTGAAAATAATTTTCAAAATCCCCGCGCATTTTCGAAAATGTAAGCACGGTCTTGCACATTTCCCGCCGCTAGTTGAAAGTAGATCGCGGCCGTGGACACTATTAAAAGATTTCTTGAAGCTTTTCGTGCGAGCGAGACGAGCGCACGCCGCTTCCCACGGGAGGGAGCGGGCCAGAGAGAGAGGAGTCGAATTTCCGTTAGTCATGTCCTAAAATGGGTCCAGCGCAGGCGCCGCTGAAAGCGCGGGCGTCCGACTTTACGTCACCATGAAACCCATATTTCAGGAAACTGGTGTGCTGGTGTGTCTGGGCTAACTGCATTCTGAACGATCAGTATTTACGCGGTGAGCTGGTGCTGTGACGAATGCTGTGAC